TAACAACAACAACCTATGGTCAACTGGTATTTGACAAGAAAATAAAACCTATCAAATGGGGAAATGAGAAACTCTTCAACAAACAGTACTGGCAAAACTGGAATGCTGCCTGCTGAAAGCAGAAGCAGGATCCACACCTCGAACCATATGCAAAAATCTACTCAAGATGGATTAAATACCTAGGGAAAACCCCCCAAACCATAAAGATCATAAGACACCAATATGGGACCAAACTTAAGAAGGCTAATACAAGAAGGCTGCCAAATACAAATATGAATGCACAACCAGGAGAGAATAACATCGATGAATGAGACTTCCTGAACAGTAAGTCCCTATGTGGCCTAGTAGATAAGAAACTGCACTGTAATCCCAAAGGCATGTGGTTTGAATCCATCAGTTACTCTGTAGGAGAAGGATGAATGGAAACTCTTATCCTGTGCGATTTACTGCCTCAGAAAACTTGCTAAAGGAAGAGCTATGAGTTGGTTCTGACTTGATGGCACAAAACAACATGTTCATAAAAAACATTTTCCATAAGGGCCAAAAGAAAATCTACTAAGAAAAAACATTTGGCAATGACCGGGTGGCTCCCTGGAAGCAAGAATTCTGAGGCTCTAACATACTTTGGACATATTGTAAGGAGGGACCGGTCCTTGGAGAGGGACATCATGCTTGGTAGGGTCGAGGGACAGCACAGGAGAGGAAGGCCCTCTGTGAGGTGTATTGATTCAGTGACTGGGGTAATTGGAATGGGAATGGGAGTGTCAGAGACAGTGAGATTGGCATAGGACAGAGCAGAGTTTAAGGCTGTTGTACATAGGGTCGCTATGAGTTGCAAGCGACTCGACAGCGCATAACAACAACAACAACATCTCAGCAAGGGTCTCATAACTTCTAATCTCAGTGATTTCCTATTAAAAAAATATAATCATTTCTTCTGGATTCTTTTACTTGGTATGCTATAGCATAATATAAAAAGCTTTATTTTAAGCAACTAAATACTACTAAAAATTATGAGAAAGCTTCATATGTCAAACTAACTAAAAGCCAATTTATTCTTATTTAAAGGGTAAGATAGAGTCAGTATCCTATAATATAATCCCTCAAAACAGGTGCATAGAATCAATTGGGAAATATATTAAAATAGCAAGAAGAGCACAACAGTTTTATAAGGGTTTGAATCCCAGCTCAGCCACTTATTACATGACTAACTGAAACCTTACTCAAACAGGTGAATTTTATCAGTCACCTTTAAGTTCCCTAAGCTACTCTTTCCTTTTCTGTAAGAGAGACAAAACATTTAACCAAAATGCTGTTGTGAAAACACAACAAATTAAAATGCCTAGCTGCTGTCAGGGACCTCTTAAAAAAAAAAAGAAAAGAAAAATCCTCAACATTGGTAACATCATGATAGATGCAGAAAAGATTGAAGTTGTCAACAATTTCATGTTATTTGGATCCACAATTTAAAAAAATTTAAAAAAAAATCCTGAAGAGCTAAGAGCTCTGGTGCCCTAGTGGCAAGAAGCTGTGCCGCAATCCTAAAGGCATGCGGTTCAAGGCCACCAGCCACTCTGCAGGAAAAGGATGGGCAATCTCCTCCCATGCAATTAACTGCCTCTGAAAACCTACCAAAGGGCCAGCTATGGGTTGGTTCCAACTCTATGGTATATAACAACAATCTATATTAGTGAATCCATTGACAATGAAGTGGTAATTAAAGGAGAAAAGTTAAAAAGACAACAACACAAACAAACTTTCAGGGGAGCTCTAGTGGCCTAGTGGCAAGAAGCTGTGCTGCAGTCCTCAAAGCACACAGTTCAAATCCACCAGATGCTCTGCTGGAAGAGGTTTAATCTCCTCCTGTGCCAGTCAGATTCAATTTGACGGTACACAATAACAAGTGCTGAAGAGCAACAATGTCAATGTGGAGAACCAGGAACACCTGATTTAGGCCATAATCTTTGCCACTACTTGCTATGCATCAGAGACATGGGCAATGACCAAGGATGACAGAAGAACAACTGATGAGTGAGTTGTGGTACTTGGGAAGAACACTGAATATACCATGAACTGCAAAGAGAACAGGTTTATCCTAGAGAGAGTGAAACCAGGCTGTTCCTTGGAGGCAAAGATTTCGAAGCTCCATTTCACATACTTTGGGCACAGGGCCAGGAAGGACTAGTCCCTGGAGAAGGACATCATACTTGGAAGGGTGAAGAGGCAGCACAGGAAAAGAAGACCCCAGATGAGATGGACTGATACAATAACTGAGGTAATGGGGGTAGGTGTGTCTGAGACAGTGAGATTGGCTCGGAATAGAGCATAATTCAGAGCTGCTTTACATAAGGTCCCTATAGGTCACATGCAACTCAATGGCAACAAGTACAAAAGTGACCCATATTATGCTGTCAAAGTGTTAGTCCCATCCTTCTTTCCTGTAAATGGAGGGACTGCTTTACAGGAAAAGGGAAAACTAGATGAGGCAGAAGAACGAACTGTCACTTAAGTGATATATACACCTCTCCTACATCTCCTTAAGCCTCACAACCGCTACATGAGGGAAGTATTATTATGCCAATTTTATGTTTGCTAATTCTCCTAAGAACTATCAGTATGAATAGGATTCAAATTTGGTTTATCTTCCATCTTAAATTACAGTCTTCTGTTCACAGAAGGAAATCAAGAAAATATTCAACTACTGGAGGAACAAATTAAAAGTAACTTTTAAAATCCACAATTTACATATCGGATAGCCTCAAATATTTAGAATTCAGAAAATGTCAAAAGAGATATCTTTGACCCAAGTTCACCACTTTATTTAAATAAACATAGCTTCTAGATCTCACTGAGAACTGATTCACTTTGAACTGTTTTATTTTAAAAATTAAAATTTCACAACCCTAGGAAGAGAGGAGTAATTTTATTCATATTTTATAAATTATTTCATCAATATTAAAAAAGAAAGTGACTTGCATAAAGTCACATGGCTAGTAAGTAAGGCTCTCTCTTCCATGTTCTCTCCTAAACCCACTTCTTCAGGAAGGATCTCCCAGTTAATAGGGCCTCCATTAAAAAAAATGTACCAGGAACCAAAGGCAAGATCTTAGCTTGGGGAGTGGAAGGGATTACAAATCCAAAAGATCTGGAGTAGACAACTCTTTTAATTTTGACAGAACCCTAACACACTTTTTGTAGGGTGGTACTAGAAGGTTCCAGGAGATAGCTCTAAGAAGAACGTCACTATGATGCTTCTGGTGCCTGGTCAACCTCTTCAAGGGCAGTTATGCAGACATAACTTAAAGCAAATTCCTCAGTCAGAAATAACTCCATGAGCCTAAGTATTTTGTGTACATAATTTCTAAGTTCTTACAAAATATTTTAACGTAGATACACATTATCTCCCACTCTGTAGGCAGAAAAAATAAAGTTCAGAAAGGATAATCTGCCAAAGGGCACAGGAAGGCAGGATTCACACTAAGTATGATAGGACCCAAAAGTCTAAATCAATTGCTCCCAAGTTCAGCTACACATTAGAATCACATAGGAACTTAACACATGAGCAACAAGGAAAAAAAAATCACTGAGCTCTGCTCCGCATGTGCCCTCCCACACGCGCTTCATTCAAAGGTTATGGTTCAGGGACCTACATTTTTTAAAAGTTCCTTCAGGAGTTCTGATGTGGCCAGAATATAGCTATACCACACCACATGGATGTTGTAATGCAACAACTTCTATCATGCTTCATGACTGAAAACTATGATTTATTGTTAGGGAAGAAATAATACTCTAGTATTTCAAAGTAAGTTAAAAGAAGGAGAGGATACAGAAACATTTCCAGTATGTTAAAAGCATAAACACCAAAATTATAGCTATCCAGGGACAGAATTACAATGATTATCTCTAGCTGAGAATAAGACCATCAAATCTAAACCCAGCCCAAAGCAATATTGTTAGCAGATAATGTCAACATTGAAAGATATAATAAACGTTAATTGCAAAATTCCTTCAAGGGAATTTTATTTCAATTTTTAGCAGTTTCCTAAAGACAGTGACAATGATGATATCCTTGCCTGGTAGGGTGGGGCCATGAAGAAGAAGAGGCGCCGAAATAGTATTGACAGGTTGGTGAGCTGATAACATTCTCCAGGGCAAGATTTTATCTGGGAAAAGATAGAAGCCAGGGAAGTGGATAAAATGAAACTAACTCATATAAAAGCACAGTGATTACTGCAAAAGTATATGACAAAATAGTAATAGTGGCACTTCCTGAGATGGGATCCTAATTAATAATACAGGCTTTAATTTTTTTTTTCTTTCAATGACTTTAGCTTATGTTCATAATGTGAAAAACCCTGACACTATATTTTAAAAGTAACAGCTGCTCATTTCTTTTTCTAATTACCATCTGATGGCAACTGAATGTGTTAATCTGCTGGCTCAAAGACAATGCATGAGACATGTTAAGATCAAAACAAAATTAGCTGAGAGGCAGAAGTTACATTTAGTGATTTAAGAAACTATTTTTGGAAAATCAATTCGTCAAAATGCAGTGAGATGTTTTACTTTAAATGAAAACTACAATATAAAAATAATTCTTTATCTGCTTGTGAGTCCAGATTTGTGTAAAACATGATAAAGATCTTAAAAAATGAATCAATAATGAACAAGACCATCAGCCATGAAGATGTAAATGTCAACTGTTCAAGCTGTTAGACAATGAATTAAGTGGTTTTTTTTAATGAAATTCTTAAATTTATGAAATAATGAGGAACTCAAGGTACCTAACAACAGCAAAAGAACTATGTTAAGAAACAAAATCCAACATGGAACCACATGATAAAATCTTTATAAAAGGCCAGTAAGTTATGACCAGGATAGATGGAACATACATCTCTACATTGTAAAAGGAAAAAATAAATAACGAAATATTAAGATATTACTAAATTATTCCATTGTTTGTACTATTTACAAAGCATTACTTCTTTTCCCACTGTATCAATCACTAACAAATTTAGTCCCTTTCAAATCATCCTGATTAAGAAATACAATATCAAGTCAGCTTGTCTATATCACATTTATACAGAGAACTCTCAGTCTTCACAATTATAATTCACTGTTTTCTTATTTCCTACTGTGAACGCAACTTTATATTTATCCTTAATAGCCTAGCCTTTCTTTTTACAGAATTACCATAACTCCAGAAGTATTGAAAATCTGAGTTTCTCCAGTTTTACACTTAAAATCTCTAGTATATCTTTCTCAACAGCATCAGCATTTATATGCAGCAAAGAAATTGTGAAAAAATTCAGCTATCATGCTATTTCTTCATAGTATTTTCTCATTCTTTAAAATTATATCCTAAAAGAAATGGCATAAAAAGAACATGTTATAAACATACTCACTAAATGAGCCAGTATGGTTACATGGTGTGCACAGAGTTTGGCAGTACCATATCTGAGAAAAGACAAGACAGTCATGTTTATCCAACTATTCAGAAAAAATCTGATGATGAACTTCCCTGAAACACTACATATTCCAACAGATGCGTATAAATTGCAGTTATTTCCATGGACAAAGAGTTTCACAAGGTATCATACTCTGGAATGCTGAAGAGTCAGCATTTTGGCAAGAACCAAAGGAAGGAAAGAATTTCTCAATTTAGTACTGTGGTGTGAAAGCAAACCATTTTGGAAAAGCATTCAAAAATTATAAAATGGAATTTTATCTATACATTTCAAATGTAAAATAATTGACTCTGTAAGTATCTATAAGCCCCCAAAATAAAAACTGTGGATATGTTGTACCGGGCAAGGAAGCACCATGCATCCATAGCTAACAAAGAGGTGATCATTTTAGCACTCAGCACAGCATTCAATAGTGCAGCATCCTAAGGAAAAACAGAAAAGTTTCCTTACTGAAAATCTTTTTTATTTGTATAGTTTGGTTTTTTGTGTTCTGTTTTTGTTTTTCTTGTTGTAAAACTTTCTTATTTCTATACCTACTTCTACAATAAATTAGCATTAGTACAAACTTTGGAGCCAATTCCTTACTGACTCTCCACTAGTTTTCCAAGGCTGTAAGTTCCAAGAGAGGAGAGTGACCACCTGTCTTCTGAAGAGCAGTTGCTGGACTTGAATCACCAGAGAGGCATGGCCTTTGGGGTACTAGCACAATGCTCTATTGACCAAGCCAATCCTATCATTAATGTTACTCCTCCTCCTAATACTAGTGAAGGGATTCCCTATCATTAATATAGAACTCACTGATATCCACTAGGCCAATAGTTGTTGTTCTGTACGATCTAGTCAGAACTGACCCCCTGCTGACTCTTCAGTAGGTTTTCAGAAGCAGTAAATCTCATGGGAGAAAGCTGCCCCATCCTTTACCCACTGAGCAGCTGATACATTCAAGCTACCTCAATTTGAGTAAGGACAACTCCTTGTCACTAGAGCTCTCTCAAAATTACATTAGAAATTATTATCAGAATCCAATAACAGAACTTGATTAGGGAGACTATACTTATTAGTATCTCACAGAATCTATGTTGCTGCCATCCTCTCTCAATGTTTATTCAGCAATTTCATAATTTCTAGATATTTATTATTCATTGGTATTCTATCTTTAATAATTTGATATTTACCTAAATTTTAACATTTTTTCTCCCTAGAAATTCTTCTACCCCTCCTGCTTTGCTAATCCAATATTATAAAACAAACAAAACATATCTACATCATGCCTAAAGCCTAGAAATAATCTGGTATTATATACTATCATTTATTTCTCATTTCTTTATGAAACTGAGTAAGGTAAAATCTAACACATTTTTCTCTCTTCTTAGTGCGTTCATAACTCAACACTGAAAATGTTTTTGCCAAATATTTCAATACCAGTATCTGATTGAGCGGTTTGGTGGACTAGAGGCAAGGAGTTGCACTGCCAACCCTAAGGCCTAAGGTTCAAATACACTAGCTGCTCCATCGGAGAAAAATATATAATCTCCTCCTGTGTAATGTCTAGCCTGAAAACCCACTGGGATTAGCTATGAGTTAGTTCTGTCTTGAAAACAGTAAGTTAGTGACTAGTATCTATCTGAGTAATATAAATATCTTGAATGACCATTTCATAAGATATAAGTGAATTAAAAAGATCATGTAAGGAGAATGACATTCAAAATGAATAAATGTATCTTAACTTTATCCACACTTTGTTTCTAAATCACAGTCTCTATGAACAGAAAGTAAGTGTATAAGCCCTCAGTTTTCCCCAGCAAGCAGTAACTTACCAATTCAGGAAAGACTGATGGGTGTGAAGAAGCAATAAAGGTACACAGATGAACACAAATGTACTGATACAAGGTGACAGCAACCTGGGCTTGCCCTTTATTGTTTACTCCCTGTAAACGAACAGGGAGGGAGAGTTCAGCAGAACACTGCTCAAAACTGCAGAAAAGGGCTTTGAGTAGAGATATCCTGCAGGGAAAATGGAGAACATTGTACTTACATTAATATTTAATAATCTATCTGCAGACATGACAATAATAATTTGACAACTGGAGGCTATTTTTAGCAAAGCTCATGTTTTCAGAGCTAAATACACACACACAAGCACTCACACACATGTATAATTAACAGCTTCCACTAATAGTAAATAGTGACACATAAAAAATAGATATATTAATTGACAGAGGAATCCCTTAAAAGTGTAGAACTTTCCTGGAAATTTTTTTTTTAATCATTTACCAATTATATACCAGGTCAAAGTGTTCAGTTATACATAAAGTTCTGTAAAAACCTGAAATTTAAATGGTTAAATTAAAAACCTCTATCAACAATTAAAAAGCATTATAGCTTAGACATAAAGGGAACACTGTAAAATTGAAATGGCCAAAGAAAGCCTCAAAAAAGATTTAAACAACAAATGATAGGCAAGATATAAATAGGTAAAGAAGACAGAAAGCCTAAATGAGAGGCCAAGTATGAACCACTTGTGTGACAGAGAAAAATGTCTGCAAAATGTAAGTGAAGAGATGAGGAGCAATTGAAGGCGGCAACAGATGGAAATGGACTTTCCGTACTCAACGTCTGGGGACAATATGTGTATGAATAACATTCAAATAACAAAGCTGCTATATAAAAACTTTACCAAAAACACACAAAAAAAGGTTAAAAAAACTAAAGGAAGAAACAAAAGGACTGAATGTACAGCTGAGGAGTTCTGACATTCTTCTTCAGTTACTGAGCAGGAAAACAGAAGCTCAGAGCCAGACACTGGAGACACTAAATTTGGTGCCGCTTTCTAATGTCTAAAGAAATGGGTGAAAAGCCTTAAAAGCCGAGCATAGTTATAATTCATGCAGTGAACGAATAATGCCACAAAGATGATGTTTGCATGACAGATGAATAAAAATGAAATTACCAGGAAACACAGCATTCTGCTTATGAGATTTAATGTTATTTATTATTATATCTTTATATTATGAGTCAATGTTTATAATGCAAATCATGAGGCAAAGACTTCAAAAAGACTAAACAAAACTTAAATATTTTTAGCACTGTGTATGTATCTTAATTAATTAAAATACTTACGAGTTTTATATTAACTTAAACTCACATATATAATAAATACGATCACATAAATCATATATATCTAAGTATGTGTGCATACATAATACAAAGATACATGGAGAGTTCTGGTGATGTAGCCTGTAGGGAGGCTGTCCTATTACTTAGAAGGCAGTACATCTCTGGTGGTTCAAATCCACCAACGGCTCCACAGGAGAAAGATGGTCAGTAATTTCCTTTCTTGTGATTTGAGTTACAGCCTCTCAAAATCTGCTGTAGGGTCAGCTTTGGGTTGTTTCTGACTTGATGGTAATGAGTTGCTTGTATGTACAAACATATGCTATTAGGTGCTGTAGAGTTGAGTATGACCCATTGTGACCCTATGAACAATATATATGAACCCTGTCCTGTCCTGTGCCATCCTCACCCTTTCTGACACACTCAAGTCCACTGCAGCAGTCACTGTGCCAGTTTACACAGACACACACACACACACACACACATGCACAGATATGAAGTTTACACAGTAAGTTAGGATACCAGATATAACAACAAATTTCAAGACCATTATGAACATTTTGAATGCTATAATATAACTAGATATAAAGAACTGATTATACCTGGCTTTATCTTCTGAGACTCGGCTTTCTGCACACCACAGCATCTGCACATCCTCAGGCTTAGAAGGTAGCTTATCCAGGATGACAACCAGAAGTAGACATTGCGGGAACTGTAGTTCACAAGGCAGGTCTTAGGGGTATTAAAAAAATACTGAGTTACAGCAAACAGGCAAAAACATTACACAGCGTTAAGTGTTTATTTTTAAAACTGACTTTCCTAGACACTGAATTTGACTTTGCTATTGGTTGGGTGGAGATATATGAATAGAGTGTGTTTGCCTATCCAAGGGGAATCTCGCTAATAAATTAAGCAGATTCAGCAGCAAAATAGGAGAATCTGACAACCAGAAAAGCAAAAGCAAGAGAATGAAATGCATCCTTTAGGGCCAGGGCCTCTAGGACCATATGGCAACAACCGCAGCAGCTACAGCAGTGACCTGAGTGGGACAGAGCCGACTTTGGGACCACTATCTCACTAAACCAGAGCTAAGTTTGTAGGACGGGGGCAGGGTTAGACATAAATGGTAGGACTGAAAGTTCTGTAATATTCACGTAAAGGCATGAGTTTGAGATGCTCGTAAGCAACATGTCAGTGGCTGTCCTGACTGAGTGAATGACTATATTCTGCTACTAATCTGAATTACAGCCTTTGACTTCCCTAATATGATTTTGTGTGGTCGGTGAGCTATAGCAGGAGATTTTTGAGCTGAATAAAATAGTTAAGACTGGTGTCAGGATGAATAAAAAGAGGTGCGGGAGTGTGGGGAACACATCTGATCTCATGGGAATTTGTTTTGTGTTATTTACAGGGGAAGTTCCCCTTTGTGGGATTGGTAATGGTCAGACATGGCTGCCTCTAACTGGCCCTTGCTCCTTTTACACATTCCCTAAATGTGTTCAGCAGAAATTTGATTGTGGTATGCAAAGGAAATTGAGACAATTTTTTAAAAGAAAATGAAATAAGGTGGAATTATTAAAATAATTAAAAATAAAATTTTTACATATTTAATTTTAAAAAAGAAATAATTACAGAGGAAAATAATCCTGCCTCTAATATGTCACATAGTTAATAGGTGATTTAACACTAAAACTGTTTTGAAGCTTACCAAGTTCCCTGTCCAAAATGACTTGCACAAAAGGCTGGAACGTGAGAAGCTGACTGATGAGTGGATCTAGTGTCACCAGGAAAGTTCCTGCGATCTCCTCCTGCTGTGCTTTAGAAATCATGGTCGCATACAGACTCGGAGGAAACTTGCTTGAAAGAGAAGAGACAAAATATGTGCTAGTTACCGTCTCATTTTAATTATAGATGCTACAAGTAATGGTCTTCTACCAGTAAAAATAAAGTGAAAAAAATCAGCAACATACCTTCTACAAAACAAACTTCAAAGTGCTAAATTTATACCAGCATAGTTAATCACCCTTCTGAACTAAAGCAGCCATATCACACCAGACCAAACTCACTGCCATCAAGTCAATTCCAACTTGCAGCAACCCTACAGAACAAAGGAGAGCTTCCCCACAGGGTTGCCAAGGCTGCAAATCTTTCTAGAAGCAGAAAGACACTTCTTTATTACAAGGAGCAGCTGGTGGGTTTGAACTGGTGACTTCCAGGTTAGATCAGTGCTTTAAATACCGTGCCAACAGAGATTGCTAACATGGCTATAATTAACAAAATTAACATAATATACAGACATCTCTAGAATTATTTTGTTGCATTTAATATTACATCTTGGCAATGTCCTTAAAAATACTGTAAAATAATGAATCTTAAATAAATTTTTTAAAAAGTGGAATATTTATGAACAATTCAAAGATAATTTTTTTATTAAAACTTATCTTAAAATAGTTGTTGTTATATACTATTGCCTCTAAAGTGACTCTCAGCTGACTCTCTAGAGGGTTTTCAGAGGCAACAAATTGCTCAGGAAGAGACTGCACATCTTTGTCCCTCAGTAGCTGGTGGATTCGAACCATGTACCCTTGGGCTGGCAGCACAACTCTTTACTACTAAATCATCAGAACTCCCTAACAAATGGGGTGAATTCTGAATTTACTATAAATTAATGTTTTTCTGATGCATGATCTTTGTAAATAAATTATATATTAACACTGAAGATGGATCCAAATATTTTTTTCATGAAAGTGACTAAACATCAAGCAAAATCTATGTAGAATATTCTATAATATTTATTTTATATTCCAGTCTTTTTATTTTAATTGTGATAAACTTGAAAGCACAAGAAACTCTGTATGCAGACACACACACACAAACACACATGCACATACATGGTAATGCTGATCGAATGCATTTAGAACTAGATGTGGGGGGTGTGAAAAAAAATAAAAACTATTGGCAAAGTTTTTGTTCTGATAGTTTAAAAACTAAAGTTGCCATTTAATAGGATGAGAAAGATTACAAGAGAAGCAAACTTGGTGGAGAGTGGGGATGGTATGGAATGGGAATCAAGAGTTCAGTTTGAGACAATATAAATTAAGATTGCCAATAAGAAATTTAAATGTGGCATTCATAGGAGAGATGTTAACTGTAAAGCCCTCAGACTAACTCCTGACAAAGAAGAGGTTTAAAGACTAAGCTCTAGGGCATATCCAACTTTACAGAGCCTAAGAATGCATTTACTAATAATACAAAGAAAGCCAGTGAGCACAGAAACCAAGGTGAAATCCCTAAACAACAGAGGAAGTGTTCAATAGTAAGGGTGGAATGCTACTACTCAGATGAACCTATAGAACTGACTACATGATAGAGCAATGATGATCACCAATGATCTCACCAAGAGTGGTTTTGGTGACATTGAACTGGTGAAACTTTGCATGGTACAAATGGCATGGGTGCACTTTGTTAATCCTATGACCAGTCTTACCTGTGTATCTGAAGATAGAGCTGGTGCAATGTACAGCAAGAATCAGAGAGGAATGGAAGAAATTCCTAAAATAAAACAATTCTATTAACTTTTTGTACACAACAAACCTTACTAATACACATCTTCTCGCAAAACACATGTAAAACAAAGCAGAATCCTAAATGTTTCATATTCTTTTTCTACATGAGAGGGGGGAAAACCCCAAAAAATGAGGCTAAACACTTAAAATTCTTTAATGATGTAGTAGTAGCTAACATTTACTGATAATGTACCATATATAAAACATGTACCAATTGGCTTTACACATGTTATTATTTTAGACTTCTCAAACATCTAAATGATGAATTACCATACTCAATTCAAGACTGGAAAGCTGAGACTGAGATTCATTGTTGTTATGTGAGCCATCAGATAGCAGGTAATTTAACCAAGTCACACTGCTAAAATCCAGTTAAGATCTAGGATAACACACAAGTATGACTGTTACTGGATTACTCAGAAAAGAAATAAATTTTAGTGCAGTATAAGATACAGAATAAGTGGATAATTTTAAAATGGTTTAGCACAGAATTCATCAAAATGGACCTAATTAGGGGTCGTGTTGTCATCTACACACCAAGAAAATGTGTAACTAGTCATCAGGTGCCCTTGATGCTGCACGTGGCAGTGATGACATCTACCAGGGGAATACACACCCTCCACACTGCAGGCACCCAGTGGAAGAGCTCTGACTACTCTACAGCTCCCAGGAGTCGTTTTGGTCAGCACTCCAAATAGGGTAACAACATGCTCTCATTTGGTGTGCTTGCCGTCAGATTATGACTAATAAACAGTCCCTAAAAGTTCTGATTTTTTCATCAAAAAAAAGGAAAGATGAGGACAAATGCAAAATTCAACATGGAGATATTGTTTTTATGTGTCATTGACTCAGGGCCAATTCACAGCTGACCCTCCAACAGGTTTTAGAGACTGTAAATCCCAAGTTGTCCCATCTTGCTTCCAAGAAGCAGTGGGTGTTATGACTTTGGCCTGGTGATTTGGGTGTTTTTTTTTTCCTTTTAAAAAAATCATTATCTATTTACAGGTATATATCACTCAACATCCACTTCATGTGACTACATCTACTCCTGAGAGTCAGGCCCCCAGTTGTCTGAATGCCATGATGCCTTTAAGTCAGGGTCCTATTTATGCCTTCATGCCACACGGAGTCTGAAAGCCAACTAGTCGGTTGAGATGGAGGCCAGGTCTAAATCCCAACCTCAATTCCCAGCGACATCGCAGGTCTAGTCCTTGTGTTTTGCTCAGTGTGGTCCTGCAGGGCTCTGATGGAAAGGTAAGTGCCCAGTGAAGCAGAAGGCAATGTACAATACAGGACCAGTTAAACACTGTAATTAGTTGATTACTTTAATTAATGGTAATTAGGCTATTAAGCAAAACATCTATGAAAACCCAGGATGATTTGTAAACCTTCACTCAAATAAAAAACAACTAAAATAGAAGTTATGTGCCGAGATGCTTCAGGCACCCTTGCAACACTGTTCCCTACTGGGGCAAGTCCTCAGAGACAAGCTGGTCTTCCCTGCAGCTAGCTTAGCGGAGAAGGTTGTAACCACCTGAGGGGTTTGCAGAGGGAGTTTCCTGGGCTTCCTGCCTGGCGGGACCCGGCCCAGCACTCAACTAAGGAACCCCAACAGGAACTGCCTAACACAGGCTGTGTACTGTACTACTCTATGGACACAGGTGTTTCCACAACATCTTACTTTACAGAACATATGAGGCTGTTAAGTGATGGATGCATAGTTTTACTACTAATGTTCTCCTCAGTGGTTAATCTCTCTCTTTTGCAAGGATTTTCTGCTCTTCAAATAATCTGTGTGACAAATTTTCTATTCATATATTTTGAACTATCAGTGGTATTCTGATGACCCCCCAAATGCAAACCTCAACAACATAATTTAGAGATAGAGCAGAAATTTTCTGAACATATTGTTAAAAGTTGAATTATCTTCTTAAAATGGATTCTTGTTTACCAAAATACTTTTTTCAGAGAGCAGAATAAAAATTATGATAGAACCTGAAGTAATAAAACATATGTTCACTATTTATATGCTAATAATACTAATTCAATTGGGAAAAGGTCACAAAATATATTCTTTTTTAAACAAATATTTTTTTATTTCTAACAGGGGAAAGTGTGAATGCAGTCCCCAAACACCACAATTATGCAGCTGAGTTTCCACATTTGGGGAAATTGCAATGGTCAGCACATCCGGGGTGCAATGGATAAACTTTGCCTTGGGAAAACCACCTTCATGATCATGGTATCTCCCCTGCCAGATAAGTATAGGAAGTATACTCTTGATAAAATGTCAACTCTGGGCCAATTTCCATTCCACATAAAAGTGGAAATTGCCTTACCCAGCTTGTTGAAGAATGTAATTGGTATTTGTATTGGGACTTCATTAAACTTGTAGATTGCCTTTGTTAGAGCTGTCATTTTCACAATTCTGAGTCCTATCCATGAGCAAGGTATATTCTTTCATTTCTGTTGATATCTTTTCATTTCTTGTAGTGATGTTTTGTAATTTTTCTTATATAGGTCTTTTGTGCCTTTAGTTGGATGACTCAACGTCACATAACAACAATAGCATACATACTATGACAGGTTTGGAAGCAGGAGTGGCATCCACTTCCTAAACAACATGCCTCTGCGGAAACTATGAACTTTAATAAATGTTGACAGTTGTAGAGGGGCTTCAGGCCTTTTGTTCATAGGGTTGCTATGAGTTGTGCTTGACTTGAAGGCAATCAACAAAAACATTCACACAAATGGAATATGCAACAATGAAAAACAATGAACTTGTAAAGCATTACACAACATGAGTCTGGAAAACATTACACTGAGTGAAATAACTCAGTCACAAAGGGACAAATACTGCATAAAACTGTTGTTATAAAATAGGACTGACATAAGGGGTTGAGGGCAGAATAGGAAAATAGTGCATAAATAATGAACACTGCTTTGGAACAGATAAACAGAAGAAATGTCTGAAAGGAATGTAAGATTAGGAGAAAAATATATATATATATATAAAACAACAATCTGGAACAAGAGGTGCATTGCAAAGTGGACTAAGGGAGAGGATAGGGAGGAAAATGTGCAACAATGAATGATTAAAAAACAACTATGAAAAAGAAAATAAAAACATGGTAATATAATTCATGTAAGGTCACATTCACAAGTAAAACACACACCTTACCTTAGTGTAATGCAAAAGGGAGTTGGCAAAGAAACGACATAATTTGAGTGTTTTCTGAAATAATCGGTAGTCACTGTTATCCTATTTTAAAAAAAGAAATAAGACTGCATAATGAGGAAAGAATAGGAAATTAGCTAAACTTACAAATTTTTCAAGACTTTATGAAATAGTGTAAATTTTTCTAAAAATATCTTATTATTCTATGCATTTTTGTTGGAAGCAACACAAATAAGCAAATCAAAAGCAGGTATTTAATAAAATTTATATGAAGTTCCTAGATCACAAAAATGTTTGATGTGTCTAACCCAAAGTTACTAACAATGTTAGTTGCTAATCCAAAGTTTAATGGTTCGAGTTCAACCAGATGTGCCTTAAAGAAAGGCCTAGGACCTTACTTCCAAAAGCCCCAGTCACTGAAACCCCACAGAACAGTCTACCTACCGCATGTGGTGGCAACTGAGTCTAAATAAATTTGACAGCAACTAATTTTTTTATAGAAAACTTCGCATTAAGAAATCTTAACCCCAAAGAGGTACTGTGTTTCTTTGTTGATTTTAAAGTGCTAGGAGGAATTAAATGAATTTCTGAAAATACTGAGAACTATTTGATTAGCAAAGATTAAAACCACAGAAATATTCCTCAGTAAGAAGAAAATGAGGAAATAAGACTTCACCATTGGTTAGAGCATAAATAATACACTATTACTGTTAAAAACTTGACTCAGCAGCAAACTAACTTTTGGAAATGAATTCCATAGATAGCAGAGGTGTGCAATGCGTACACTTACTATGTTGTAAAAGTTAGAAAGGAACTGTTTATTTGTTGGAGAATGGCTACATAAAGACAAGGTACATTTCACCAAGTTAAAACATTCATGTTAACTATTTGCACCACCTAGGGAGTCAACCCAAATAATAGTTTATGTTTATAGTCTAATATAAATCTCTATAAGTAAAAATAGGAATAGGAACAGAAATTTACACCTCAGGATCTTACAAATAAATATCCTCATCTTTATGGTAAAACGAAATTGTTGGTATCTAAAAGCTATGTTTAAAAGCCTATTACACCCATCAACAAATGAATGGATAGAGAAGCTGTGGTATATTCACACAATAGAATACTACGCTGCATTGAAGAACAAGGAACTCATGCAATATTATTCAAAATGGGTGACCCTGGAGAACATTATGCTGAGTGAAGTGTCTCGGTCACAAAAGGACAAATACTGCATGGTGCTACTGTTGTAGAATGGGACTGACATCAGGGTTGGGGTAAGATTGAGAAAAACTGGATAAAGTATGTATACTTCATTGAAACAGATGGGGGAGAGAATAATTTAAAAGCGATATATGATAGGGTATTATGGTTATCACAAGAGTCCAGATTAAGGTTGCATAGTAGACTGTACTTGGGTCTGTGGGAGGGGTGTGGGGGGACTGTATACCAAAGAAGGAATTTTCTTTTACTTTTCAAAGAGAGGAGTGAACTGGGAGGGGATGGGGTAGGCAGGGAGAAAAGTGCAACAATGTATGAATGGAAATCCAAAAATCTCCGTAAATGTTCATTAAAATATTTTTTTTTAAGTCTATTACAATGTTCTCTTTTTGCAACAAATTTCTCAAAACTTATTTGAGAATTTCTTATAAAATTTAGAATCTCATAGACACATCCTTACCATCCATAAAGCTGCATGGGAGAATACAAACTTACAGTATGATTTCTAAACCAATACCAACAGTGAACAGCAGAGGGTGTTGCAGATTAGACTATAGAGTTAAAAATAGCAACGGTCTATCCCGAAAATTCTCTCAGGCAAGGGATAGTAAACAATGCTGGATACATTTTAGTCAGTCCCCAAATGGCACAAATCAGAGAAATCATGACAATAGGGGCAGTTTGAATTTCCATTTTAAATTTTTGGGGTTTTGTACAAAAACAGCTTAACATAAACTGATTTTTTTTTTTT